TATATATATATATGATGGATGACATAGCCTTACCTTCTTTCGTACTGTTTGCAAACTACACGTTAAAGTCCTCCCCATGCCAAGCGCGGAACTTGTGAAGACTGAGGAGAGTCCGGCCACTGAATAAGAAAAAAAAAACACAGGAATAAGCTGAATGAGGCCAATTAAAAAAAAAAACAAAAACAATTAGACATGCTCCAAAATTGTCTATTTGATTAACTTTGACAGAGTTAAGCCACATGGGCAAATGGCATAATGGCTACTTGTTCTCTAGATTGCTGTCGAGCGATATGAATTTCTATTAGTCAAAGCCAAACACCCTTTCTGAACTGAGATGAAAGCAGCAAAATCAATAGTAGCTAAGCATAACGAAAGTTACTTTTCATCTTATAGGATCAAGAATCATCTTGCAATGTCATGACATACGCAAATGGTTTTTAGTGCCCTTGGAGCAGTTCAGGGTGTTTCGCACAGCCGTGGGTGACCGGGGATTTGGGGGTGTCTGTCAGCACTTGCCAAATTGGATGTTTTTTTTTTTTTGCCCACATTCTACCAAAGGTTAATGACTTGAACCGGGATGCTGATGGTGGCAGCAGCTATTTAGTGCCATTAGTGTTCATGATACTAGGAAGAAAGATCAAGATAAATCTTTTGTTAGTGTGTAGCAACACTCCATAGCAGCTCCTCGAAGATAAATTGCAAGAAACTAACTTTAGATTAAAAATAAACTGGGATAATGTACATAATTTATCATGCATTTCTCTGTAGGCTGTTTACACTCTGCAATATTTGAAGTCGAACGTGAGTTGGAGCCCACGCCAGCTGACTTCAGGTGAGAGGATGTGAGCAATCCCAAATTTGGACTTCAGTGAAATGAACATGCATGCTTTAGGAATGTGAGAGAAAGTAGAGGACGCCCATCAGGTTCGAACGCAGAACCTCTCCTAGGATTGGGAAGCCAATATACTAACCACTAGTCAGCATGGTGCTGGAATAAAACTGTCATCTAACACCTCTGGCAATCTTGGTGAAAACATTTGGACCAACTATATAGAAAAATGGACTTGGATTGATTTGTTGACACACCTTAATACTGTAACAGGACAACTTTCACTGTGTCAATGTTTTTTTTTTTTTTTTTTATGAAATTCTCATCATTGATTAAGATTAACATTGCAGTTGATTGTGCAGAGACTGAGAAATGAGGAATGACTGCAGCAGAGAAAACCAGTAAGCCCGGTGCATCAATTTGTTTCTCACAGAGAGTGAACTGTGTAGTTTCTTGCTGACCTCGTGTACTGAGCTGTGCCAAAGGCTGTCACCATCCAAAATAATATGTTTCGATAAATTGCTATATACAGTAATTTTTTTTTAAACAGTTGGCCAGATAGACCCTGAAACTAATCCTACTCTTAGCTCACTAATATGAATATCACGTAAAAAGCCATTAAATGGGAGTTTATGGCTGAAATTCTCATCATTGATTAAGATTAACATTGCAGTTGATTGTGCAGAGACTGAGAAATGAGGAATGACTGCAGCAGAGAAAACCAGTAAGCCCGGTGCATCAATTTGTTTCTCACAGAGAGTGAACTGTGTAGTTTCTTGCTGACCTAGTGTACTGAGCTGTGCCAAAGGCTGTCACCATCCAAAATAATATGTTTCGATAAATTGCTATATACAGTAATTTTTTTTTTAAACAGTTGGCCAGATAGACCCTGAAACTAATCCTACTCGTAGCTCACTAATATGAATATCACGTAAAAAGCCATTAAATGGGAGTTTATGGCACCTCTCAGCATTCACACAATAAATACATTTAGTTTGCAAAAAGATGTATATGATGCTGCGCCATGAAGGTTAAAAGAACCAGGACCAAACGAATGAAAAGCACATCGACCAGGTTTTCTAAAATCAATGACCTGCCTTTTGTTCAATTGTCGTCTAACAAGTCACCTCCAAGCTGGAATTGTTTCAAGTGTCTCCTTTTTTTTCAAGGTTATTTTTTTCAAGGTTATTTACAACTCTTTCTTTTTCATACTGTATACAGAGATGCTCAATGTCCTAAATTCAGTCTTGTGCGTCGTGTTTTGGTCTTATTTTACGGCAGCAGCAAACAGGTGTTCCTAATCAAATGTGGCATGAGTGACAGTAGCAAGAACCCCTTAATAGTCCAACGCCAATACCCATACTTACACCCCCTGTGCCCCTCGTTCCAGTCGAGACTGCGAGAACGTCGGGTGTTCCAGCACTGTGGTCTGCCGTCCCGACGCTTTTAAGCCATTGATTTACACTTCGGTCTAACAGGCATCCACGATGCCTCAGAACAAAGTATATGACCCACAATGGGACAAAAATCACGAGAAACTGACAATTGAAATATTTATTTTCAAGAATAACTATGAAATAATTATATATTTTATATTTGTACCGAAATGTTTTTTTAAACCTTTCCATCGACGTTTGAAACGCACCTACGTAATTTAAAATTTGCTTATTTGGTCGTAGTGAATTGCCGTACTTGGTAACCTTGTGCTCATGCGCCTTAGATCGCGCAGTGGTCGTAAATGCTGTAGTACAAATAATGGAGCCATAGCTCACATGGACTGGAAAGTTGAGCCCGAGCTACCGAGCCCGAGATTTTCCTTTACTACTACGTTACTGGAGTGTTAATCGAATTTAAACAGCACAATAGCCAGAACTATAACCGGTGCCGCCATGTTTGATGATACACGGGACGTAAATCGATTACGTCATACGCATTGTCCAATTCTGCCATTTTCGTACGCCTGTCACCTGCGCACTCGAATGAATACTAGTCACAGTCACATTTACCAGAAAGATGAACTAACAATATTCATAGTCATGTATTATTCATTCATTACCCTCTGCAAAAAACTATAATTACTAAATCTTATTGTGGAGTTTTTACCTGTTCTCTTTAAACCCATGTCTGTATTATACTGCCTCCATGGAGCCAACATGGATTCAAGCTTCCTTCAGCGGTAATACTGGAGAGCATGGCCGGCCTTGCCATGATGATACGCACAACATGCACACATATAATAAAACCAATATGAGAGAACACTGCATAGATTGGTGTGTGAAATATTTGGTCTATATGGTAATTCTGGCTGTGAAGCACATTTTCCACACATGATGAGATTTGGTACACGACCTTCGAGTTTAGTATATGATGATGTATTGCTTTCATTACATTGCCATCTGCTAGAATTACAAACCATTTCTCGGCCACTCTGAGGTTTCACTTCTCTGTAATTCCTAATTTAAGTATATGATTTTTTTTTAAATAATAAATGTGAGAGTGAGTTTGTCTTTTCAATATGTGTCCCAATTTTGGCTGGTGACCAATCCAGGGTCCACCCAGCCTCTCGCTCAAAGTCGACAGCTCACTCGTGAACCCAGTCAGGACAAGCATGAAAGAAAATAGATGGCTGAATGAGAACACAAATGAACCGCGCAGCTATTTGTTGCCTCTATTATCCTGTTTGCAATGAGGATTAAGAGGTCAGGACATTGACTATTATGCAGAATTATTATTGGTGAAGAATTTCTTGTTTTGTTTAGCGGCCTAATAGAGCGATTCATATTCGCCTACGTGAGTTTTACTTGCTCTTGCCTTCATTCACAGATGTGAGTCATTAAAAAAAATGGTTGGAGCTGCAATTTTAGGCTGTTGAGAAGTCCCAGAAAGTGAGGAAGACTTCATTACATACACATACAGAATCTAATAAAACCGGTTCAAAAAGCTACTGTATACCAAATTAAGCACATAAAAAGATGACTCGACATCATGTGGAGAATAATACAATGGACAAAATATGTTGCTTATTGTTTATATATAAAAAAAGAAAAAACTGTTTAAAGGTGGGAAAAACTCCCTACTAACCATTACGAAGGAATTTCTTATCCAGTTGAACCTGAATTGTTTACTCACGTTGTCACCATCGAGTGCAGCGCCGACGTTCAAGCGCTCTCACCACTCTGCTCGTGTCACGGCGCAGACAACATTTATTCCGCCCTACCTCAGGTAGTCAGGCAGCAAATTAGCAGTGGCTGCTTGCTGGAACAACGATCTCGAGGCGCTGTTTTCACAGTTGAAGCAGCACATCCAATTAGCCGTCTTCATCTCTGATGCTAGTCAACAAGATAGGGAATTACCGGCGTTCAGTTATTTAAATACAGATAAATAACAATGTTGATTTCATTAACCAGAGCTGTGTCTGTGTCTAACTTGAACTTGTGTACGAGACACTATACATCATTTCCTCACTCTCAACAGCTTGTTTAGTGGCTTCACTTTAGTATAAAGGTCAGATATTCACTTTTAACAGGCCACAGAGTTAATTAAACCAATAAGGGGCATGATGAAAAGCTGTGCGAGGTCCAGCCACGGAGACATGCGCATGCTATTTGGTGACACTTTTATATCATGTCGAATTCAAGGCCTGGAGGTCTAACCTGGTCCACCACATCTTTTTTTTAGTGGCACACAAAAGCAAATCAAGTTTTGGCAGAAAATCTGGACCAAAATGACCCATTTGTGCCGTGCAGCTGGATGCGTTATTGCCAGTTATTGCTGCAAAGAAAGCACAAAAGCCATCCCTTTATATTCTCCTGAACTTTGAGCCGTGACGACGAAATGGGTGGGGGAAGTGCCGCAAGTATCTCGAGATATTTATTTGCCCGAGTATAGACTGAGCGCATGAGGGTCACAGGCGACAACTTGGTGAGCCGCTCAAGATGTGCGCCATGAATCATGCATTGGCTTTCTCCGTCAGAATGGATGTGATGACCTTTGCAAAGTCTCTACACGCACGCCTCTTCCCGTTTTCAGCCCGATAAGAGTGTGCAAAACACACCGTGTGGGTGGAGAGCAACCCTTGGAAGAAGAAAGAAAGTAAAGTTCCCCGTGTGATGCGTGTTCTCGTATCGTGTCCACTGTTCTCGTCCTGCCTCAATTAATCACAGGGCGCTTCCCAAATAGCATGCACAGCTGCTCATGACTTCATGACAGAAGAAAAGCACGTTTGAGTAGGAGCAGCCAATGTGAGGCAGTTCAATAATGAACACACGCACTGTACATCGGGTTCTGTGTTTATTACGGTACCATGATTGTGGTTCAAACCTTCCTCCATCTTTGGCAGATCGCTAAATGGTTAAGAACGATTTGCATTTGTCTCATTTGATGCATTACATGATAAAACCAGCAGGCATTCCGGTTGCGACAGAAAACACCTAAGCAAAGACAAAGAGCCGCAAATAAATACAGACGTTGGTGAAAACATTCACGTTTGTAATATTCTCCTCTGAAGACGACGCACGATCAGGAATATATACACTCATGGATTTTTTTTTTTTTTTGCATTTGCGGGATTCCATTGCAACTTCATAATCTAGCGCCTGAAAGGTGAAATCACATCATTCGCACATAATAACGAACACAGTCAATTCTAGATGGTGCAGAAATACAATCTCACTTTAAATTACAATTCGATTCAAGATTCTTGAACAGAACAACCAAGAAAACAAGCGGCAGCCATTCAGGCACAACTACCTAGTTCTCATTAGCTGGAGTGCACGAATAACAAGTAAAACATCATCTAAAAAAAAAAAATTCATAAACATCATGTGATTTTTTTCACGGCTACACAGTTCTCATCTAATTTATTACACGGTGAATTCCAGGTGTTGTTAACTGAAGGAAGAAAACTGCAGTGAAGTTATGATAAATAAAAAAAAAAAAACAATAATAAAAAAAAACAAAAAAAACAATGAGGTTGATAAGCGTTGTGGTACAGATATGAACTTGAAATAACATCCACCGAAGCAGGTGGTTCATGTCATTCCTCACGCCGCTTGGTCCATTTGGGTGCGGTCTATCTCTTGGGTCTGTCAATGTCGTCAATGGCAGCCAGAAGTTTCTGGCGGGCTTTCTTGTTTATGTGGGAGCCCAGACAAACGTTCACCAGGTTTGCGAGCTGCTTCATGGAGTACTCCTGAAAAGAAAAGCAGAGTGTTTTTCTTCTTCAGGCCAGGTCATTTGTAGATAAGGCTAAAAAAAATTCTCCATGTGACTGCCGATGCCTCACCCTGTGGTTCTTGATGAACTGCTCCATATCATTCTCCGTCATGTAGTAGGCCTTGATGTAGGTTTCGACAAACTCCTTATCGGGAATGGGTCTGAGGTCAGTCAGCTTCTCCAACTTCATCAAGAACTGCTGGAAGTCCAGCTGCATTAGGGCCCGACCTTCGTTGCTGCATTTTTTCACATTGGCGTAGCTACAAAAGAGGGGAAGGAAATCACATGTTGTCGTGTCTGGCCACCGGAAAATGTTTCATTATTTTACGCGCGCCATCGTGGGCAGACCCCATATTCGGGCTCGCCAGCCTCATTTCGCGGGGTTGGCGTCGCCAGATGGCACGGCGCTGCGTTCCTTTTCAAGCTGCTGATCACAGGCCCTCTTGTGCCGCGGAGGCGCCACAAGCCAAATGCTGCTCGGAACTTGCCGCTGAATCTCATTAGAAAGCTGACATTAGCCAAACTTGGGACGGGCTGCGCTTGAGTGCATGACAATTCCATTTTTGTTCTTTTAATGGGGTAAATGCAGACGATTAAAAACCCAAGGAAGGAAAATGTTCTTTTAAAGTTGAATTTAACATTAGGTAGCCACCAACCCATATTCTCCTGTATTAGGTTTTCAGGTGCTAGAGCCTATCCCAGCTAAAGATTTATAATTACCACATTAAAAATGTCGATTTCCTTTTTTTTCCCTTCACATTTTACGTTAGCATGAAGCTTTTGTGCAGGTTGAACCTTTTTGCTGTTTTAGACAGACAATGTTGAATGAATTATTTCATTCCGGTTGAATCGAACACACTGCAACCTGTTTGGAGAACTGCGAGAGCGACAGTGAGGAAAACTTCAAAAAAGTGTGTTTCGGATTCCTCTGCAGATAAATAGTCGTTTCCCAGCGAAGCTAACGCTTCATGAATTTTTTTTTTTAAGTTTGTAAAGAAAACGCAGACGCTACCAGCCATCAAAACTGTACCAGGTAGCTGGTGGAAAAGGCGCCATAGTGACAAGGAGAGGAAATTTCATGATGAGCCACAGCCCGGCGCCAGCAACATGATCCGCGTTTAGGTACTGCGGGCTTATCTTCTCAAGTTAAAATAAGCCAGGATGACTTTGGCCTTGCCGCCAGCATCACCGAGTGTTCGCTATCTTCGATCAGCAGACGCCCTTTTAACGCCCGCTCGAGGAAGACCTTTGATCGGCTGAAGGGGAAATGGATGGAACCAAATGGTGACCTTACCCGTTTTAAATATATGCAGGAAGAAGAAAAAAAAAACAAAAAACATTTGCAGCATTGTTTTGGGTTTTTTTTTTTGTTGTAAAAATGCAAAGAGAACGGTAAGCAGAGAAAAACAGGAGTTGGGTAGACAATGAGGATGTGTGTACTGTAATAATCAAGATTCTTATGTCACTAATCCACTCTGTGCTGTTTTTTTTTTTTTTTAGCCCTTCAAAATAAGGTTGACTGCAGCCTCACATCATCATCATCAAGCTGGTAAAGACGCAGTTGTGCCGTGAAAGATGAGAGCGCTTCAGCACGCCTCCGATGTAACAAACCACTCCGCACGTCCACTCAACCACAAGGACGCAGGTAGCGTTTATAAAAAAAAAAAAAAAAAAAAACATGCACAGACCTTTCCTGTCACCAATCCTGGTGCCGACAAGCAAAAAAGTGATGACATGCATTGCAAAGGGATGTGTCAAGAACATTTTACAGTTAGTGCGAGTGGCCCGCGTCATGCGATTCCCCGATGAGTCCGGACGAGACGGCAGCGGAGCAAAGCGAGCGAGACGGGATGAATGTCGAGTTGTTTTGTGAAAGCGTCATCCCAAAGGATCTCCGCAAAGTGAGTCGGCACCACTCTTGGCACGAGCTGGACATACGGGCGGTTGTGCGCCCGTTCGTCCAGGCGCACGACGGCATGATCTTCGGGATGATTTTTGGATGTGGATGTCAAAATATGTAAATGCTGCGTTGGCTTTTGTACTATCGGCAGGCTTTCTTGGAAACACTGAGAGTTGCGCAGAGCACAAATCACAAACGTATTCTAGGAACATTTCCTCAAAGAAATCTTATGATGAGAAACATTCAGTTGCGGAGCTCTAAATGAAAAATGGAATGAGATGGAATTTTTTTTTTTTGGGGGGGGGTGGTGATTGAAAGTACGGCTTGGCTGGACTGACATGGGTTCAAACGGTCACCGCAAATATTTCTTGAGATGGTCCAAATGAAATGACTGTCTTACCCCTCGACAAGAGTCCTGTTGGCCAAGCGGATGCAGTGTTCCCACAGGACATTGGACACAGGCAGTGGGATGCGCACGTGTCTGGAGACGTCACCAAGCCGCTGGTTGAACATCTCAAACTCCTTTCGGATCAGAAAAAGAAAAAGCAGACATTTGTCAATCAAGACACATGACGTTTCGATACTCATTCTTTTATTCCCGCACAAGTTGAACGCTTTCATGCACCCTGTAACCCGAGAAACTGTCCACTGTAAGTCACCGCCGTCCCCGAAAGGGTTAAGCTACAAACGGAACACCACACCATTCCCACTTCCCTTCCAGTTTCACTAGTGGAAGGGTGCGCACTCGTTTTCCGACTGAAGTTTGACGCATACATTGACGCACATGCACTCACACTCACCACTAACGCAGACGAATCGCGGAACGCTCTATTCAGGAAGTCCAAACATGGGAATAGTTTACGATCTCCTTAAATGAGGCTCTTTCGTACGTTTCAGAGGTCAGGTGACCAGAAATTTTTGTGTTTTATCAAATGACACGTTTTTTTCATGATTCATGAGTGGGCAATGTGGGACTGTATGGTTCTCGATGAAGACTTAATTAATTGTCCTTAGAAATCCGGTAAGCTAGCGCTGATTTTATTCATGTTTTCTGTTTTGATGGACAGCCGGTTTGAATTTTCTTGTGACTTATCAACTTCATGTAAACCTTTTTTTGGTTGCGGGTTTTGGACAGGTGTGAGACCGCTTCGGCCCGCCGCGTGAACGTCTGATGTTGCTCACTGCGGTCCAAGGGATGCTCAGGTGGAGGATGTGCGAATGCTCACACGCACGGAAACGTTGCTCTCCGCTGCGAGGTGGACGCGACAACCACACCGGCGCAACACAAACCAGAGAAAAACAGAAGCTTGATAGCCGGCGCGCACAACTGTAATGTTATTTCGTCTTAAAATAGCCTCACAATAGTTCCTTTACTTCAGCGTTTTCTCAATGAAGCAATTTGGAGGCTACGGCATCTCCATGCCAATTTATATGCAAATCAATGTCATTGTTGAATGTTGGTGATAAACGTGAATTCATGAATAAAGTATCCCTCTGTGTGCAGGATAACAAAAAAAAAAAATGTGTGGCATGCTGGTTTCCATCAATGCACAATGCGTTTGCATTGTATCTGACAAGTTGTGAAAATAGGTTATGAGGGACATGCCGGTTGTAATAGGCACCGTGTCAGTCCATCAACCGGACCATTTTGACACCGTAAGGATTTAATCCAGTGACTCTGGGATTGCAATTTACCTCAAGAACTAAATTAGTTCGGTTGAAGCGCAACGCTGCCAGAGCCGGACAAAGATCTGTGAGCCATGCAGGAATTCAAAGAGGTGAGTTGAACTTCTTTTTCGGGACAAAATACTTTTCCCTCTGAGTAGAATATTTTATTATGTATGACTCCATTCATAAATGCATCATCTCTGGGCTTTGAGACAGATATGTGATTTAACACATTCCTTAACAGGGATGTGGGTCCTGTTCACAAGTGCACACACCGCTAACTTTTTCTGACTTCTCGGTTTGACCTTCCCCCTCCCCCTTCCGATGCAAAATGCATGATGAGCATGCCTGGAGGTGCATATTGAGCGGGTTTACTTTCACTTCAGCGACAGACACAAAATGATGAAAACTCTCTGCTCCACACACGCACACGCACACGCACACACACACATATATAAACTTAATTTAGTTATTTGCATAACGTTCTGCAAAAGAAAAAAAAAATGTGAGAGAAGATTCGAGGTCCACTCTAGTACATGAACACAGGCTTCAGTGGCCACAAATCAGAACAAAACAAAAGAAAGGAAAAAAACAGGTGACTATCGTGGATTAATATAAGTACTGTAATACCTCTTGGGCAACAAATCCAATTTGCAAAAGAAGAAGAAAAAAAGTGTTTGCTCAGCATGACCTGTTGCCTTTTGGCTCAGCGTCACTAAATCAAATTTCCTTTTTTTTTTTTTTTTCGGCCAGTGTGACAGAAAGAAGCCTGTGTTCTCGTGAAAGGAGAAGAATGACTAAGGTACAGCTAACGTAATAGGTAAATGCACCTTTGTTGTCGACACCTGTATTTGATGTTTGCGAAGGAAAACGAATGACTGTTGCTCTTTGAGCTTGAGTCAAAAATCCATTACGATCTATCTGTTATTATCTTAAGTCAGTTTTACGATGGACAACATATTCACGTATATGTACAGTCGCTCTCCTGCGTGCGATTTATTTTGGTACTCTGCCTTCCGCCCACATTCCCAAAACATCCATGTTCAAACTTGTCCATTGATGTAAATGGTTCTCCAAAATGAGCCGGGAAAGGCTCCGCCCCTTCGTGACCACGTTGAGGACAAACGGCACAGAAAGTGGATAGAATCCAAGGTGGGTTAAAATAACGGGGAACAAACCACGGTCACACCTTACCTTTAAGAGCACATCCACATATATGTTATGCTGGGACATGATCTCTTTAATGTCCCATTTGACGCCGGACATCAGGAGCAACATCTGCTCATAGTCGATGGCCTTGGCAGCCACGATCCAGTAAATGGGCTTCCGCAGTTCGCTGGCCGTCGACACAGTCTGAGAGAAGGAACAGCCGACTGTCATTTGGGCACGTGGTCAAATTAGATTTCGTTGTGCATTGTTTCTAAGAATGTTTCACTTTTTTTTGGGGGGGGGGGGGCGTTTGGGCAATATCGGCAACCAGTTTGCACGTGCGCGATAACATTGTCATAACCTGGCATTCAATCATCATTTAAACATCTGAAATGTTAAGTTCTTTGCCAAAGAAATTGGCAGGAAAAGATCAGCGGGCTGACTTTTGATTGTCAATTTTTTTTTTTTTTTTTTTCGCAGAACACAGAGATAATGGCACACAGTGATGGGTTGCTTGGCCGTTGCTACCGGAGCAGAAATTGGTTTCTCAAGAAGTAAAAGTCAGCACTGGTTGAAAAAAAAAAAAATGAAGTGAGTGCCTTGAGAATACTTCACAGAGAACAAGGACATCAGTGTTACGTCGGCCCCCAAAAATTCAACTCAAAAGAGAAAAAAAAAAAAAAACATCGTCAAGAATGATCAACTCGTGTAACAATAAGCTGCTCAGACATTTAAATGTCAAATATGTCACATTCGATCACGACGGTAGGCCTGGTCGCCCCCGCTGTTGCTCAATTAGCAATTCGAATGGAGGCGTCTGTTCCTGACAGTGACAAATCATATTTGGAGTAATTAGACTAAAGGGTGCGGGATTTTGCGTGCTCTACCTGGGAATAGAACTGCTGCAGAAAAGGCTTCTTGGCAGCGGGCATCATTGTGTCCAAATGGGATTGAAGCGACTCAAACTGCTCGGCCAAAAACACACTGAGAAAAGACGAGCACAAATGTTGCTGATCAACGGCGGCGGCGCCTCGTCTCCCAAACAGGTACGGGACATTCTGAAATCAAGTCTACAATATTCATCTCATTTCAACTTTTAGTCATGTCCACTGGACCTTCCGAGTCTTTAATGGCCTCGCTGCTTTCGTCGAAATGTACCTCGGATTGATCACGTTTCATTATTTCATGTTCACATCGGCTGCTTACGTTTTTTTGAGGGGCTACTTACAGGGACTCGGTGGCGACCACTCTCTGCGCCAGCCCATAAAGCGTGCCGCTGTTTGTGAGGACCACCATTTGGCTGAGGTGGGGGCTCGGCACCTTTTCCTTCCTGTCCTCTGAGGGAGCGTGCATGCTCGTAGCTTCACCGCCGGCCTCCTGCAAGGCAAAGAGATGGATGCAACGGATTAGCACGCGGCCAAAAGCAAACGTAAACTCGAATTTTTTTGTTTTTGTTTTAATGCTTCACTCATTCACTCCCAAAGACGTTTAAAAACGTCTTTGGGAGTGAATGTAGCCTTTTGGGATTCAGATTGACAATATTTTGGGGGCTGATATCAATTTTTTTCTTTTTTTTCTTTGCCATATCACCCACTCGTGTATTACACGGTTGACTGAAAAGCCAGAAGGGAAACGGGGAAGACGAAGAACTCGCAAGGGAGGAAGACCACACAGAGAGAGAAAAAAAAAGGAAAACAGAAGAGAGACGGAGGATGTCAGCCCTGGAGGAGAAACTGCCCATTAAGGGAGAACACTTGAGAAAAAAAAGAAAAGTGAAACAGTGTACATTTTTTTTCTTTCCCCCTGATGAAACGTGTGACGCAACACGGCCATGTGAGAACCTTGGTCCTTCGAAAACAGCCTCCGGGCGGATCGATGGCAATCACGCAACTAATAAATGGCTGTGAGCTGCGCCGCTATTAGGAGTGCTACAGATCATCCTCTCACAAAAGCACACTCCAGGGCATTGTGGCGCGAATGCTACGGACGGCCACTATTGGTCCACGCTGTCAGGGTTTGCGAAGCAAAAAGTGTGCAAACCAAAGAAAGAATTCAAGCATGGACTCTAATGATCTTGAAATACAACGCGTGAGCACAAAACGAGAAATGAACGGGGTGGGGGGGGGGGCATCACAAGGCACCGCAACATCCGTGATGAACGTGATTATTCATGAGAAGGAAAGATGAGTATTGATAAAAGTCGCGGCTTGAAATGTTGGATTTCAGTGAGCGGACATAAGTCGCGTGCTGCGTTTTGAGTTTTGCAAATGTTACTTTCAATAAAACTGCAGTTGCTTCAGACTTTAAATGTAGTTACAGTACCCTCTAAAAACTAGTTCATAAATGAATAAAGTATTCCGTTCCAGAGACATCCATGTAATTATTGTAATTATCTAATCAGGGCAGGGAGTAGCAGGAGATCGTTCCCGATACGAACAACAATGACGAATTAGCCTTTGCTTACGTTGAACTTTTTTTCAAACACGCTTGATGGATTTAAAAACGCAATAAATTCACTCTCGCAGGACTGTAGCTATTCAACTCCCGTGCTCATTTCAGCATGTGTTTGTTAACCCTTTCATGCACCCTGTAACCCAGGGGTGTCAAACTCATTTCTGTCGCGGGGCCACTTTGGAGTTACGTCTTCCCTCGGAGGGCCGTTATGACAGTGAAACCAAATAAATGTTTCGTCATCTCGTCGTGTTATTACTTGTAACACGATAAATTGATGGATTACTAGTTTTGAAAGCAGTCAACGATAATAGTTTTCAAGTGTGTGCAAACAGGGTCACAAAATTATTGCAAAATCTCAATATTATTTATTGATATGTGACAATTGGACATTTTGGTACAGATTTTAGCAAGGGTCATGGAAGTTGACACACACGATTTGCTTCGGCGGGCCGGATCTGACCCCCCGGGCCTTGAGTTTGACACCTGTGCTGTAACCTGATAACATGATCAACTGTCCACTGAAGTAACCGCTGCCCCTCAAAGGGTTAAGACAAGATCGCAATGAGCGCTCCAAAACAAAGGCGCGTGTAAAAATCTCAAAAGCATCTGCGCCGCCTTGTAGAACAAACAGTAGGATCCGTTTTTTCCCCTTCATAGATAAATTGTCCTCTCCCGGTATGGCCGATATACCGTAACGATGTCATACATCTTTGATCCTACCAGCTCCCCGAAAAGACGAAAATGTTTTCCCTGCGATCACAATCACATCCTTCTCAAAGCTTCTGTAAAGAATTCTTTCCCTGAGCCTGTCAGCGAGTAATAACGAAGAGCTTCCTCGGAATACCGCTTTCAAGATTCTTTCCGGTCATTCATATTCAGTGGATGTGCAAAGGGGGGGAAAAAAAAAGAAGTTGTTTTGATTGTGTCTGTTGGTATTAATGCCACAAACGTACACAACACACACTTGTCCCATGTGGACCACGTGCTCGGTGAAAAGACGAGGCCATCAAAGCTTGGGAGCTTATCTACCCATGTGTAATGATTTCAAAATAAAGGATTGAATTCCCATTGGAAATAAAGGATACATACGGAGATTTTGCCGGGAGTGGCGCGCCGAGTGAGGCGGGAGATAGATCAGACACGGGATAAGAGTGTATGCCCCGCTGTTTCGCTTAAAAGCAATGAAAAAGATAAAGCGGCAGGATTTGCTCACTTGAAAATGACAAACCAGCAACAGGAGAAGCACAAGGACTTTGTGAAGTGCCGCACGGTACTCGTTGGGCGGGGATTTGTTTTCCCTCATTGGGGCTCTGGTACAGTGATGCAGGAAAGCCAGGATCAAGATGAACAGCGTCAGACCGCTCATCCGCAGGCGACAAAATCACCGCATTCGAGTCCAACTGCATTTTCATGTCAGGCGAGCGTGTTACTTTTGCGTATGACACAACAAAGTTGCTCGGCAACAGCAAATGCTCTGATTTTTACATTTTTTTTTTCCCCCCCTTAGGTCGGTTTGTCAAATTTGGAGACATTGGCGTGCAAAGCCACCGAGCGACCGGCTAATAAACCTGCTGCAGATTTTGAATGGAAAAATTTGAAAGTCATTCATCTAAATTTCTTTTTTTGAAAAAAATTAGATGCCCTCAGATCAGATTCAAAACTAATCCTGACATTCAAATTTAGTCATTTCATGTTTAACCCTTTCAGGGACAGCGGTCACTACAGCGGACAGCCTATCGTGTTATCAGGTTATCATTACTGGTGCATGAAAGGGTTAAAAAAAAAAAAAAACATCCCTGAAAAAAGTGAGATATGATACTGATCAGATCATACCATTTGGTGAATTCAATTTAAATCTCCAGCCACGACATATTTTTGCTGCTGACTAATATACAGTGACGCAAAACAATCTCAAGCATTGTTCGTGTACAGGTGTGTCTCCGAAAATTAGAATCTTCTTTTTTTTTTTTTTTAATTGCCATTTCCAATAAAAAGTTAAAAAAAAAAAAAAAAGGACAATTAATAAAGGGAATTCAAACCATATCATCACAGCCGTCATCAATGAGGCTTTCACCAGGGGATTATACACCTGATCTATTTGGTGAAGTGTCTCAATTTATCATGATTGACTGCTTATTCCTCTCCAGTGTACCCGGTGGGGAGGGTGGGGGAGCTTGGGGGGGGGGGGGGTCATGGTCAGCTCAAGTCGTCTGGCTCCAAGGCAATTACTATCAAGTGGATCTTTTTTGCACCTCTTTGTCACACAATTACCGGATATTTTGTTCTCATTAGACACGTTTAAATGAACGACGGCCTTCCTTGATTTTGTTTTGACAATCACTCGGGGCCTTGGAGCCGTCGTGGGGCTGACAAAAATGAAAGGAATCTGATGAGAGTGACGCGTTTGGGATTCAGAGACAGCAGCAGTTGAACACGAGGATGCCAAAATGGGCAGTATCAGGATCGCGTTGAGCTGAACTGGCGGATTTATATGATTGCGGTTAATTCAAGTCTGGTCGACATTTCACTGCTTTTGAAGTCAATACCGTAAAGACGTTTCATCATATGGACGGCTAACCCAGACCCCTGATCCTTCCAGCTGTGGCAATGAATAAAACGAAGGTGTCGGGAGTGCGCGCTGTAAATATTTAAATGACAGCCCTTCCATGCACAGCAAGATGTTTCTTCCCACGTGAACTGCGATGAGTCACCGGTGGAAATTTAGGGAAGCGGCGGAAAGTGTCTCCAAAGGGGATCAACCGTCTCCTTATGACTGCCAAGGTACGTGACCTACTGCTGAACCTTTCAAGCGAGGCCGCCTTGGTGCGCTCCAATCAAATCCCCCTCCAAGTGTCAATACTTGTGATCGTCTGACAAATGCGGTCAGACCGTAGAGCTTAATTATGATCCATAACCGCTGTCAAAAGCCAGTCCCTACTCGAAGCGAGTGAGCAGGCCACAACAAAGACACTGATCGCGACAGCGATGCGCCCTGAAAGGTGACGATCCAATTACCGTACTGTAACGTGTTTGGTGTGCAACAAGCGGGCTGTGCCGCTTATATGGGAGCCAGCTCACCAAACTCTGTCGATTGTAATTTACGAAATATTACTCAAGCCGAGCATCCAGAAATTAACATATGCAATCCACTCAATTCATCGCAACTCAGCAATTACAAGCTCCAAAATAATAGGAAAATATGGACGTTCTAAGCCGACTTTGTGAGGACATTCGGGCCAGATTTACTTTGTTATAGTTACTTGAGTAACTAAATTACAGTCGACTTGCCAGAATAGATGTAATGCAACATACATTCTATTTTTAGTCTTTTTTTTTTTTAATTAGCAAAACAGAAGCACCAATCTAATACGTAAAAACAAAAAACAAAGATGAATGAAAGTGAAAGGTCTTAAGGTGTGCACCGATGGTTCCGTTAGGGAAGCTACCGTACACACACTCGGCTTACTTTCACTCGGCCTGTCTCTGTTCTTCCGTAGTATAAATTGAATGGCACAAAATAACAAAATATGCCCGAATGAAGTTATAAAAGCCTATAATCATGAACATATATAGGGATGGAAATAAAGGCAGGGGCAGAAAAGGAAGACATGACAAGAAGAAATCTCTTGTTCATTAAAAATCCAAGTGTGTGACGGCTCGAAATGTTGCCTCGGGCAAGGGGCTCTCAACATCTGTCACAGCTGAACTTTCAACCAGGGACACAGATGGGCCTCGGCCATGAATTTGATATAGCGCTGTCATCAAATGTTCCCGCAGAAACATCATCAATGACAACAAGCGTTTACACGGTGCAGCTGATCCCTTCCAAAATATCAACTAAAAACCGAAAAGGGGACTTGCAAGAAGAGGAAAATGAAATTTAACTCATTCGGTCATAAATTCCCTCTCTCTTGAACAAGCTTTAAATGAACAAAATATATGTCAGCGAGCTATCGTGAAGGCAAACATGATATTAACCCTTTCATGCGCCAATAATGATAACCTGATGACACGATAAGCTGTCCACTGTAGGAAGCGCCGTCCCTGAAAGGGTTTAAAAAAAAAAAAAAAAAAA